CTGGAACTCACTATGTAGACCAGGCTGGCCTTGAACTCACAGAGATCCACCTGCCTCTGCCTCCCAAGTGCTGGGATCAAAGGCGTGCGCCACCACGCCCGGCTATTTATGTTTATTTTAAGTGTATGAGCGTATTGCCTGCATGTGTATAAGAGTGCCTATGTTGTGCAGTGCCCATGGAGGTCAGAAGAGGGTGTGGGATCCCCTGGAACTGGAATTACTGATGGTTGTTAGCTGCCATGTGGTGCTGGGAACCAAACCCAGGTCCTCTACAACAGCAGCCAGTGCTCTTAACCACTGAGCCATCTCTCCAGCCCCCATCTGTGCTTTTTAGCTGTACTGCTGAAATATTCACCTATGGGGAGGGGAGTTGTGGCTGCTGTGGTTGTTGTGTTGTTATGTTGTTGTTATTAGCATTCCAGACCAAAGTTCATACATACCTACTTTGCAAGGCTCAAAGATACAAAACTTACAGAAGAGCATAAAAGGCTCTCTTCTAATTGCTTTCTTTTCTGGAATCACTCTCCTGATTTTTCAATACTCTATGAATTGCCTTCCATGAGCATGACCACATTCTAAATTCACTTGTCACTCATTAAATAGCCCTTATACAATTCCAGAGCATTTTAAAGCATTCTTCCATTCCCAAAATTAGAAGGCTTCTTCAGTTTTACATTTATTTATCTATTGGTGGTAGGGGTGAAGAGGGACTACTTTCCACAGCAAGCATGTGGGGGTCAAAGGACATGAAGGAACTGATTCTCTCCTTCTCCAGATGAAATTCAGGGTTCAAACTCAGGTTATAGGGCTTGGCAGCAAGGGTCTTGACCTGATGAGCCATCTCACCAGCCCAACAATATTTTTTTATTACCTTTATTTTAAGGCTACTTCCTCCAGTTTTACAAATATAAACTTCTGTTGACATAAAAAGACAATTCTCACCTCAAAAGGGATGAAAGATCATTTATTCTGCAAACAAATATGAATGGCCGTGGCCCAAGAACACAGATTTAGGTTATCCCAGATTCCACATTTCAACACAAAATCAGTTTCACAAACTTTTTTATTATTATTATTATTTTATGTGTATGTATGTATTGCCTGTATGTGCATAAGTGCACCCATGTCGTGCAATGCCCGCAGAGGTCAGAAGAGGTTGTCAGATCCCTTGGAACTGGAGTTATGGACATTTGTTAGCTGCCATGTGCGTGCTGGGATTCAAACCTAGGTCTTCTGCAAGAACATTCAGTGTTCTTAACTGCTGAGCCATCTCTCCACCCCCCTCACTAACATTTTATAGTCACAGAATAAAGAAACTAATATCAAGGCATGCTGGTGGAAACATTAAGTAGGCAGATACAGCAAGAGAAACCTCAGCTATCAACCTCAGATGCTATCTGATGAAATTCTTAGCCTTTTAGTTGGTGGAAAGTAGTTGATATATCCCCAAAGGATTTTTATCTGTTAGTCACAGGATGTTAGGTCCCAAACACAAGTGGGCAAGGAGTGGCTATTTAGGAGGCTAAACAATGGCCCCAAATAAATTGCAATTAGCCTGGACCAGCAAAATTCCAAACCCTCCACAATCACTGAAGTTCTAATCAGTTAATCAACCTTGCAGAAGGTTCAGTTTGAATATTCAGGAATTTTTTTCTAGGCACTTTTTTCATATTCAATAGATGTTTATTGGGGATCAATTTTTTGTAAGTGCTAAATTATTCTGAAACTAGATTTTCTGACCTTATTGACGGATTTTCTAATTTCAGTACAATTGTACCATTAAAGTGATGAGGAGATAGTAGGTAATGGTGTTTGGTAAATTATTCCACCTTCCCTGTCTAGAACAGAAGCTGATATTCAATACAAAGCAGATATTCAATAGATGTTTATTGGGGATCAATTTTTTGTAAGTGCTAAATTATTTCTTTGTTGTTGCTCTTGTTTAGTGTTTTGTTTTGTTTTGTTTAGTGTTTTGTTTTGTTTTGTTTTTTTGAGACAGTGTTTCTCTGTAGCCCCAGCTCACCTGGAAATAGCTATGTAGTCCAGGCTGGCTTCAGTCTCACAGAACTCCTCTTGCCTCTGCCTCCCGTGTGCTGGGATTATCAGCATGTACCGCCACACTTGGTTGCTAAATTATTTCTAAAGAAAGTTTTATTATTGTTGATCCAGAAGCTATGTCAAAAGATAGTTCTTGCTTAAATGTGTTTGAGGATTTCCTAACCATAGATCAGGAATGTCAAAGAAAATAAAAATAAAAACAAAAATCATAACAGATGGCTACATGTTTTCAATACTCTGTACTCGTGTCTTTGGCATGTAAGATTTGTTTTCTGTTACTCGTTTTCAGGAAAAATCTAATCCCTCTTCCTTTGACTTCCTAGATCTACCATGGCCATGCAGGGAGCAGCACTGGGCTCCTCCATCGGTTCAGCAGTTGCTGGAGGTCTGGTTACAGGTTGGCATCAAAACTGAACACATAGTTGGATGTGGTGGTACACGTGTGTAACCATAGCTACTTGGGAGGTTGAGATTGGAGGACAGTATCTTTCAGGTCATTGCAAGACTACCTAAATAAATAAATACACACATAGAGTGAACTCGTCCCTGTACCCAGTTATCTCTAAACTATAGATGATTAATATACAAGTTGACTAGTAAGCTACAAAATACTCTAAGCTTATGTCAGCTCGCTAAGATGTTTCATAACAGTATTTTAACAGCTTAATAAATAACTTTTCCTCTTCATATTCATAATGTGACTTACTTTCCCTCTACCTTCACAGGTTTAATTCTCAGGTTACCCATCTGGGATCAGCCCCCTGATGAGTACTGTTTTGATGATGCTGTTTATTGGAAGGTAATGTACAGAGCTCCAAAACGGAATGTGATTCTATCATGATTTAGATGCCCAGGTGTAATCTGAGACTCAGATGGCCTTTTGCTTTCCCAGATCAAAATCCTGAGTAGGCATTGAACAGCTCTTCAAATGCTGGTCTGCAACATTTGCTTTCTTCCGTGTTTAGTAGCAGCCAAACAGAGCAAAGGACAAGCAGAAACAATGGCAGGTGGCGCCCTCTACTGTTGGTAACTATGTAGAACTAGGGTATCAAGACTACAGAGGTTAACAGCCCTCCTGCAGGCCTCAGGATTGGATCCCACAGCCCTTGGCAGTGACCGGTGTTACAGTTCTCAGTCCGGGGTCTCTAGATCGTTGGTCTAGAAGACTTGATGGCTCTCTGGAGCTCTTATGGTGACCAGGGCATTTAGTTCTCTTCGGTGGCTCCTCCTCATCTTTCTTCAATCCCGGCTCTCCTTTCTGGTCATTCTCGCTTTCTCTATTTCTGCTGCCTTTCTCCTTCTTCTTGCCTTGGCTGTTTCTGAGCTATGCAACTGCTTCTTCAGCCAAGGTGCCCCTTCCATAACTTTACTACCCTGGGACTCCTCAGGATGCCAGCCTCTGGCCTTCTGTTTCAACCATCTTCTGGGGACACCCGGGAATCAAACTGCTCCGGAAGCCGACTCTAGGCACAAAGTATGCCTCTTGGGAGGTGGGTGCTCAGAACCAGCCACTGGATGGAAGCCTGCCTGGTCTGGAGGCAGTTACATGATTCCACCAGGTCCACTGCCTGGTCTGTGGCTGCTTCCAGCAGGGAGCAGCCTTAATGCCTCCTACCCTGACCTGCCAGCAGTTAGACACTCCAAGCCATTCTGCGGCCTCTGCTGTTGCTTCTTTCATATCGCCAGCTCAGCATGCACTGCTGAAAGGAAGGAACGATCACTCTAAAGAAGCCTATCAACAGGCGGATGTTACAACGTCAGGAGAGGCAGTGCAGGAGTGTCTCCCACTGAGACCACGCTGCAGGTATATATGACCTAAGAAAGCATGGCTGGACCAATCACAACCTTGCCTCCTGACAGTAATCATAATCACTGAGGCTTGAGTTCTGGTCAAATCGTGGCCTTACCTCTTAGCACCAGTCACAACAGTCCCTCTGTCAATGTAGAAACTGTAGAAATGGTAGCAGAGTCATGAAAGAGTTCACTGAGCCTTGGGATAGCAAAATGTCTGCTACAAACTGTTTCAAATGGCCCAGGCTGGGGCCATACAGCAAACACTGTGTTGATCTGTGAAGGGTTAGCCCTGATGATGTAATAGTTGCCTGTCAGATGGATAGTCCTTTTGTTCAAGTGTGTAATAGTTGTTAATTAGGGAGTTAAATTGATTCATCTCCAATTTGGTTATTTACAGGAAAGCAAATATCAGCAATTCTTGCACTGTAAGTCTAAGACCTGATTGTTAATATTAACAATTTTAACAGATTTTAACAACGCTTCAACAGTGTTTATCACCTGTCCAGTATCTAGGCTGAAGATAGTCTCACTTATCTGTCTCAGCTCCACCAGGGAAAACTTTGCTTAAGGCCACATGCTTGTGTGACACATATGAGATCAAACTGGGTGAACTTCCTACTCATAGACAGAAATAAAGGCAGTGAGTCCAGTCAGATGAGAATCAAAATCTGAGGACTGGAGAGATGACTCAATGGTTAAAAGCACTTACTGCTCTTACAGAGGACTGGGTTCTGTTAGTGTCCATGTGGAGTGGCTCACAACTGCCTATAACTTCAGTTCCTGGGGATCCAACCCCTCTTCTGGTCTTCATGACCACCTGTGTATACATGGTGCACATTGAACTCATGCAGGCACACACACATAAATTAAAATAAATAAATAAATATTGAAAGTTAAGATCCATTCCAAAGCAGAACTTAAATGAATATAGAATTTAACAAATGTTAATTCGGTTCTCTTACATAAAGTTCTAAAAGGTATGTATAAAAAAATAGTAGTCCTGAAAAATTGTGTATATTATATTAAATATGAAAGTAGAAAAGAACAAATGTGGCCAGCCTTGGTGGTGCACACCTTTAATCCCAGCACTCAGGAGGCAGAGGCAGGCAGATCTCTGTGAGTTCAAGGCCAGCATGGTCTACATAGTGAGTTCCAGGACAGCTGGGGCTACAGGGAGACCCTGTCTCAAAAAGAGACCCCCCCAAAAAAGAACAAATGTAAGATGTAAGGTTATAAACTGTGTGAGCATGCATTCAAAGGTGGTCTAAATAACAAACACCAGTGTCTTTCTGTCTTCCACTATGACTTCTCTCGGTTGGAGCTTTGTCCAAAAGTTTATCTTACCATCTAGAGTGGGACAAATGCTTCAACAGGATTTTTAGGAAAACCAGATTTTGGAAAAGGAAATGCAGTCAAAGTAGGTGATATGAATATTTTTTGTTTTGTATTTTTTCTCACATCAAACAATTTTTATTCTCAGTATTTCTAAGCTTTGATAATAATTTCTGATAATATCTTTGCTTCAGTACTAACTTTTGACAAGCCTAGTGAAAGAGACCATTAAGTGCCACGATCTATTTTTTCAAGGTCCCCAAGTGGAGAGAACATGATGATCAGTTCCTTCAACATGAGAACCAGAACCATCTGGAACCCGAAGTCTAAACATCATCCTACACAACTTTCTCCCACTAATGAGTCAACAAAAACTCAGTATCCAGAGAGACATGGAGGACAGAAGACACATTCCAGGCCCCAAATGGCCAGTGTAAAATCGCATTTATATTTGGTACTATCTCTTGATATTTGAATGATTGTTTAATTGACAGGAAATTGCTCATAAAACATCATCAACGGGGTTCTCTCAAAGACTCCCAGAATGACTTTGTGAGTGGGTCGGTACAGCGTGAACATTTGATGTATATCTTAAATATTTTTTCTTAATAGAGATAGATTTACATAGAAGTCAATCCCTCTAGTCATGTCAAATTTTTATAATATCTAAGGTTATCATACAAAGTAATATATTTCATCATAACAAACATCTTCATACATATGTCATTGTATTTTCTTCATACATATGTCATTGTATTTTGCTGTCATTGATTACCTACCCCACTACCCTTCCTAGGGTCCCTCACCCCACCAGCTATTCCCTTTCTTTCCCCAGTTAGTCACAACCTCTGTCTTCCTGTTCCATGTGTTTCACCACCATGTCTTTTGTTTCTTAATGTACATAATGTACATAATACCATATCTTTGCTTTCAAAACTTATAAAACCGAAAGCAATGCAACAACACATTAAGAAATCTATACAAAGGTCTGGAGAGATGGCTCAGTGGTTAAGAGCACTGGCTATTCCTGCAGAGGACCTGGGTTTGAATCTCAGCACCCACATGGCGCCTAAAACCATTCATAACTCCAGTTCCAGGGGATCTGATACCTTCTTCTGTCCTCCAAGGGCATTGCACAACACGGGTGCACTTACATACATGTAAGCATAACACTTATACATGTAAAAATAAATAAAATTTTAAAGAGAAATCTATACAAGAAAATTAAAGAAATTTATGGACATAAAAACTAGTATTATTGTTCTAGTTGGTGCTTTTGTAAGTTTTAAAAAAAGTCAAGTTAGTAATGCTACATCTCGGCTTAACATTCTTATTCTTAATTCCCTTTTCATGGCTATTATTTGGAATAAGCTCAAAAGTCATCTGATAATTCTATTTTGTATAAAACTTTAAATAATTAAATATTATTATGAAGTCATCTTTAGCGCTCCTTTCTTTGGTGGTTATAATTCATTTTAGCAACAATCACTTACAAATACCCTTCATATTTAATGCATATTTAATTCAAATGTATTTTTATATTTATTGTAAAAATCAAATGATTGTTTCACCTTATAACTTGTAAAGCACTGAACTTTAGCAATGGTAAGAGGCACAGTCATATAAAACCATTTTTATAAAAATCAAATAACTTTTTTCCTGTGTGGAAGTTTTTGATATTTTTTTCTTCTGTCCCTGAATTCCTGAAATCTTGACAGGAAATATCTAGCTGTCCATAAGGAAAGAAACCCCACCATAATCAACAAAACTTTAGTTTCTAAATGCTAGAACTTACATATTACAGGCAGCAGTGGATTGTTCAGTGTTTGTAAAATGTTTGTAAGTCTTAAATGTATTGTTAGACATGCAGGGGATTTCTCTCATTAGGATCTCTCTCAAATACTCTTTTCAAACTTGTTCACATATAAACAAAGCCCTCAGTTCCCTCCCTGGATGATCATTACAAAGTATCATCTTCATTACTAGAGTATCCAAGACTGCCTCACCCCTATTGATCATAGAGCAAATCTTGAAGGGTCTTGCGTATACTTCAGTACAGAGGAACATCTATAATCTGACTACATAGGAACTGTGTTGTGGTCATCCATCTGTGGCTTGTGAACACTCTCACCTGCCTTTCTTCAATGCACCTCTTAGTAACAATAAAGTTTGCTTGTTTAAATTCTGAGTTAGAGGGCTGGAGAGATGGTTCACCAGTTAAGTGCTCATCCAGAGGATCCGGGTTTGGTTCCCAGCACTCACATGGAGGCTAACAACTGCCTATAACTCCAGTTCCAGAAGATCCAACACTCTCTTCTGACCTCTGTGGGTGTTGCATGACATGGGTGTACTTACAAACATGCAGACAGTATACTCATATACATAAAATAAAAAGAATACATAAAAAATATATTTAAATTCTGAGTTAGCATCAAGGAAAAAGTCACCAAGTTGAGGGTGGGATGTGAGAGGAGTTGGAGGAGGAGAGGACAGGGTGGAGGTGATATAAATCTAGTGTTTATGTATGAAATTCTCAAAAAATTAAATTAGTGCTCAGACCTAAATGGGACACCTACATCACATCCTCTCCTTCCAAGGCTCTAGGATCATTGTGGAAGAGGGGGCAGAAAGATTGTAAGAGCCAGGGGCGGTAGATGAATTAAAGGAAACCCTATTGTCTGGACACCACAGGGTAGTTGGACAATATGAACGCAGAGCGATTGCGAGAGCGTATGTAAGACGTGTGCAAACAAAAGGCAGGACAAAAACACAGCATGGATGGGGGCTGCGGGTAAGAAGCCCCAGCCCTAACTGAGGATGTATTGCAATTGATAGCTGCTGGGAGAGCCTCAGTTTTCTTTAGGGGTGTGATGCCTGGTAGGTTGATCAGACTCCCAGGGATAGACTCACGCCCAAGAGCATTTGGGGAAGGGATTAGACTTGATAGTCCTTTAAAAAGAAAAAAATGATAATAGAGGACATGAAGCAGGTGTAGTCAGGTGGGGGTGGAGATGAGGGAGGGGTCTGAATGTAATCAAAAACATTGCATGAGGTTCTAGAACAATCAATTAAAATTAAATAAAGATTCGGAGTTAGAATTCTTTTACTTGAGTAGCACACTTCCTTTTTAATCTATTTTGCCTGAAAGTACATTGTTTTAATATATATTTCATTATATTGATTCACTCATCTACCCCACGTACTTTTTGCTCACAAATCCTAGTCTGTTTTTGTAGCGAAAACATTGTATGTGTACATACACATGAAGGTATACATACGGTGTATGTGGTACACTGAAATTTTAATGATTTTTATCACTTCTGTTTATTTGGAGGAATGTTTTTTTTAAATTCAAGTTCAAAGTCTAACCCTATTGCTTTAACACTTAAATAATGTTATTTATATATCATTTATTCCAAAATAAAATTCATTATGTCAGATTTATTATACTTAGTTGATTGTTTTGATTAAAATTTTCAACCTCTACTTATGTGAGCAGTTTCAGGAAGCTTTTGTTATTCTTTTTAATTGTCTGAATTTGAAAACCTGGCCCATAAATATTAAATGCAGTTTCAGACAGTTTTGTGAAATTTAAACTATGGTCAGATTTGTCCATACTTGTTTTAATACTTTTAAAGTTGTTTTTGGCACAAGAGAGGTCTGCTGATTGGTGTAGAGGAACTTTCCCAATAATTCTGTTATAAATCAGTTTTGTTTAGCACACACTTTTATCTTTTCTTTTATCTTTTTGGTCACTCTTATGTGTATGAGTGTATTGCTCACATGTGTGTAAGTGCACCCATGACGTGCAATATCCGCAGAGGTCAGAAGAGGGCGTTGAATCCCCTGGAACTGTAGTTATGGACAGCTATTAGCAACCATGTGGGTGTTGGGAATCAAACCTGGGTCCTCTGCAAGAGCAGTCAGTGTGCTTAACTGCTGAGCCATCTCTCCAGACCCTTACCTTTCCTTTTGATCTTCATTCTGGGAGTGGGAAGAGGTGGAAGGGTTGGGAGGGTGTGGGTGAGTGGGGATCCTTTAAGTGGGACGTTCATTCACTGCACTAGGCACTGGAAGTCAATCAAGTTCACATCGCTGAGGTACCTTGGATGGGAGTAAGGCATGGTACCACATGCTTATAATCCTAGCATTCAGGAAATGAATAGGAAGAACATGAATTCAAAGCCACACTGGGCTACATACATAACACGACCCTGTCTCAACTATAACTAGAGAAAAATAGGAAGGCATAAAAAAAATCACTTGATGTGGGTCTGGAGAGATGGCTCAGTGGTGAAAACTGCTAACTGCTCTTGCAGAGGACCTGGGTTCACTTCCCAGCCCCCACATAGCAGCCAACAACCATCTGTAACTCCAGTTTCAGGGGATTCAACGTCTTCTTCGGGCCTCCATGGGCATTGCACGACATGGGTGCATTTACATACATGTAGGCAATATGTTCATGCACATAAAATAAAAATAATAAATAAATATTAAAAGTCACTATGTTTTTTAAAAATCACTTGAATAAGTCAGGCATTTGCACAATCCTAAAATAAAATTCTCCTTGTCAGCTAAGGAAATCTCTCTCTGCTCTTCTATCATTCAATAGGAAAAAGTTGGTAATTTTGTAGAATCATTGCCAAATCTGTGTAAATGTTCCTTAACAAGCCCTTCTGCAGCTCATGAGTGATCCAAAATACCCACTGCCATCCCAGGTGTTAGAATTTGGGATGAAAAGTTGACGTGATAAAGAAGTAGAATCTGGCCTCAACAGATGTAGATAGCTTTATTAGCTACGGAGGGCAAGCAACCTTCCAGTGGGAATGGAGGTTGGGGGTGGGTGGTCTGAGAAGTCTAAAGCGTGTAGGGGCCCAGAAAATCCCAGAAGGTGTAGCATTCCTTCTTAGGTGGTTTTATACTCCTTACTGGAATCTGGGAAGAAGAGGTGTGGGGTTTGATAAGGGAACCAGGTATCTTTTGCAAGGGGATTGATAAGGAACCAGATGTCTAGGCTAAAGGCCATGTGTCCTGAGATAGATGTATCTCTCTCATGGAGCCAGGAGGCAGGGTGAGCGAATGGGATGGTCAGCTTGTTCTGTCGTTTGTCAGGCTCATTTTTCTTCATCAGGGACTCAGCTGAGAGCTAACTCTTTGTCCAGTGAGGGATCCCAAAGAATTCAGAACCTCTAAAAAATAACAATACTCAAATCCTTAGCCCTTTGTTCTCCACACCCTCCTCCTCTCCTTCAACACAGAGGAGGATGTTCCCTATTAGATTTATTTGTCTGCTGTCTCAGAATCCAAAGTGAGAGTTTTTACCAACATAA